TTATTGGTAATTATAAAAAAAAAATAAGTTTTCTTTTACGTTATGTGTATGAGGAACTACTCGCTTAACCGCAGATCGGTTGTATAATTTGTGTTAAACGAGATAACGACAGGAAAGTAATTCTATGACAAATAAAGTAATGTTTATCGCTGTATATGAATACTATGTTTTCATTTTACACCCAGGGTGTGTTAAGCTTGTCACGCAACCTGAAACATCCCGAAGGAAACAAGGAAACATAGTGTAAGCGTGGTCCATTGTTTCTGCAATAGAAGGCAAGATGTCAATGGATATCGAACTCAGTCCGTTTGCGATGGGCACGGTTGGCGAGGTCAGCGGTTTAAATGGGGGCTCCTTATTTCTTTCTTCTTCCCGGTAGGCGGATAATAAAATTGGGAGAAGCCAAGCGGGCTAAAATTGTCGAAATGTTCTTAGTTGACCGTTATTTTGTGTAAAAATCGGACGCTGAAAGCTTTAAGCCTTCATTAACGAATCAAATGGATTTCATGAAGAGTTTCTCAATTAGAATTAAACACAATCTTCTTTCATGTTTTCTAGCCAGCACCTCTCCCCATAAAAAAAAAAAATAAAAAAAAAAAAAAAAAAAAAATTGAAATTTTGCCACATCAATGAAAATGCGACGGCATTTAAAAGTTAACTCACTGCTGCCGCTTCAGTGGGCATAAGCATGTTTGTCTCTTAATCTATTAGTATAGATTGAAATTAGATAACGATCTGAAATTAGTATATACATGCCCTTTTCTCTCCAAAAAAAGGTAAAGCAATCAATCAAAACCAAGTTTCATAAGGAAATCTTCATTATTTCACAAAAAATCTGCACGAATAGCAACATACAAATTTGCCAAAATGCACCCTTGAAGCGTATTCAAGGTGTTGCTCATTTGTTTTCTCGATATTCGTGCTTTGGTGCATTATGTATTCGTTCCGGGCAGACAGATGTTTAATGAGGACTTTTTTTATTTTGTTTTTGTGAGCATATTGAAGCCTTTGCGTGAGAATATCCGTCCAAAATGGCTGGAATTGTGGAAGAACAATTCATGGATTTTACACGTTGATACTGCACCATCGCATCGACACACAATTGCGAACCGAATTTAAAGCTAAAAATGCAATGAATACCAATGATCAACTACCGTATTCAACAGATGCGGCTGCATGTGATTTTTTCTTGTTCCCCAAATTGAAATTTCTCCTGGGTAGAATCCGTTCAGACGATCGAAGAGATAAAGCTGAATGCGTTGAAGGAGCTGAAAAGTGTTTCGTTTCGAGAACAGGACAAATCGTTGGCAAAAATATATTACATCTGACGGGGATTACTTTGAAAGCGGCAAAAGAAATATTGATGAATAATTAAACACTTTACGTTTTATTTACAACTTACGGGTTCTTTTTTTGTCACAATGTATACAAGCTGTAAGTTATTTTCCCGCATTTATTTTCATAGCTCTCATCATACATATTTGCTTAGCTCTTATCAACTATTTCATATCATGTTTTTGGTTTTCACCCCAAAAATTTTCTTTGCATCATATGCGACTTTGGGATTTCCCCAATATTTTGGTATTCTCCTGATTTACTAACACAAACTCAGAAAATGCCTCAGTTGTGTACTTATAAAGGGTGAGGCATTGAAATTCTAGCTAAAGTTGAGTTGAGTACAGCATTACTTATTTTTTCTTCGTCGAGCTTAAAGCGGCTCGAAATCTTTATTTTAGATTATTTGAAATAATACAAAAGTTTGTTCATAGTTTATTTACTTATCAGCATTAGATTTGTATTATTCATTTATTTAAACCGAAATTAATTGTATTTTTGCTGCAATTCATTAAAATTCATTAAGAAACCATAATGTTGTACCTAGTTTTGAACTCTTCTTCTCATATATTGCAAACTTTTCAAAATACAGCAACAGAGAAAAAACCTGTTGCAGCACACTCGAGTGACTGTGTATATGCATGTATTTGTAGTCTTATTTTGCATCAAACCCAATGTATTTGCAGTGAGCACTCAACTTATGTCGGGAGAAACGAATTAATAATTCTTTCTACACCCTGCAGGAACTGTTGAAGTGTTCATATTATGTTCATAACTATGTTAAGGGGCAGAATTTTGCTGACATTTTTCTTAATTTTTCAGAACAACAAAATTGTGTACTTCTACATTATAAACAAATATTCGATGATGCAATAATTGTTATTTTACCTCACTTATTCGTTCTTAAAGGCTACAAAAACGATGAAAACTTTAGGAAAATTCGTACATAAAAATTTGGATAAAATTCGTACAAAAAAACATTTTTTCTTTAATAAGCAACCACCACTACCATTTTTGTCAAGTTTTAATTATTTTCGACAGAAGGTAATCTTTAGTAGGCAGAAATCACTGCAGCGATGGACAACCTGTTGTGCGCCTTCGGTGCCTCGTGTGACTTGAACAATGTTAAATTTTTCTAAATATGTAGTACAAGTAATGCTAAAAATATATAAGAAAGCATTTTATATATAATTATTTTTAGTCTATATATTCAATAAAAATTGT